TAAAAGAAAGAAAGAAAGATAGAAAGAAAAAAAGGGAGAGACAGAGAAAGAGAGAGAGACAGAGAGACAGAGAGAGAGAGAAAAAAGAAAGAGAATTTTAGAAAGAGAGAAAACAAAGAAAGAAAGAAAGAAAGAGAGAGAGAGAGAGAGAGAGAGAGAGAGAGAGAAAGAGAGAGAGAGAAAGAGAGAGCACAGTTTTAATCTCAAATCAAATACTACAATCCAGAAAAAAAAAAGAAAGCTTAACTTCCAACCATCAACAACAATATCACAGGAACGCAAGAACATAACACTCTAGAGTTACAAAAGTCACTTCTAGGGGAAAAAACGGTCAAGTGTGTGTGTTTGTGGGGGGGGGGAGAACAACTGGTGGTAAACAGTTTGGTACAATAGATTTACTCATACCCCTCCCCACCCCCTCCCATATTTTTTTCCAATCGACTCTCAAGAAGGATGGAAAGTGGAATCGTCACGTACATACAGAAAAGATAATAATTGAGGAAAATGGGAGTTGTGGAGAAAACTAGCAGAAGTCGTATAGGAAAGTGGGAGGAGTCATGGAGGAAAATGGGAGGAGTCTTGGAGGAAGGTGGGAGGAGTCATGGAGAAATGTGGGAGGAGTCGTGAATGAAAGCGGGAGGAGTCATGGAGGAAAATTGGAGGAGTCATGGAGGAGGACAGTGGGAGTTGTGTGGGAAAGTGGGAGGAGTCATGGAAGGAAGTGGGAGGAGTCATGGAAGGAAGTGGGAGGAGTCGTGGAAGAAAGTGGGAGGAGTCGTCAAAGAAAAAATCATGGAATCGTCACGTACATACAGAAAAGATAATAATTATCATATCGTAATTGTTGGAGTCATGCAAGAAATGTTTTTTCCTTACCAGAGATGGTAGTGCAGATATTGTTGGTCCTGGCAACACTTGAAAGTGATCCTTTGAACAGAGAAGGGATAAGACAATGGTGACAATGGTACATCAACCCATCCGTGCGTCCGTCACTCACTTCGTCCACACCGTTCGTCTTCCCGCCCCACAAACCACCACATGGTAACACAACACTGATCACGTGACTGCTTGTCTTCCCGCCCCACAAACCACCACATGGTAACACAACACTGATCACGTGACTATCTTTAAGTTTTTAGTAAGAGTTTCACGGCACTTGCAACACAATAAGGTCATATAAGTGCCGAACGAGACTATCTACCCTGGCTGGCATGAACGAGAGACGTGTTCTTATCCTTCATTGACATGATCGACCAAGCGTATTTGGGGAGAAAAAAAAATCTTCTTTGTTGGTTTCATTTGAAAAAGGAAAAGATAAAAAACGAAAAAAAAACGAAAAAAAAAACGACAGAAATCTATGTAGGGACGCCATTGTGATTTTGTGAAAATACCGCCTGAAAATTTTATGAAGTTCTATTTCCAAATTAAAAGAAAGTTAATAACCATAAGTACTAAGGAAATAAATGTACACAGAAAATAAAAGCTTAGATTAACAAACACTGTTCTTCTCGTGAAAATAAGGGATAATCCGAGAAAAAACGGCATCCCTGTCAATGATCTATTACTGTCTTTCCTTCCTTGAGACAACTTATCTACCCAAGGGCGTCCCCAAATATCTACACCTGACCCGTCACTAGAGAGGTTCCATTTGTCGTCACCCTGTCCAACACGCACGTTTCTGCTGGCCAACATAACAGCCACAACACTCCTACGTTACTTACTTCACAAATTATGTTACAGATACTTGATACTTCACACATTATCTTACAGATACGTACACCCACGTCTTTCACGTGCCGATGCTCAATCAAAATGTTAGCAATATGATACACATTACTATGTCGTTGTCACCCAGAAACTGATAACCTTTCGGCACATAAAATAGATCAATACATTCCCAATATAATCCTGGGAGACACATATATACATTTACACGTGGAACTAGTGACGAACTTTCCGAGCAAAATACAGAAATGTTCTACACAAGCTAGCATTACACATTCAATCTAGACCGTACAGTGTAAAAGCTAGTCGTTTTAGATACTTAAAACTTTTACAGTGAACTACATTTTGCTTTGGTTTAGTTTTAGTAAGGTTTTACGGCGCTCGCAACTGCATAAGGTCATATGAGCGCCACATTTAGCTTTAAGAATGAGAAATGGAATAAAAGGTTGTATCTTCAACTTTAACAACTTAAGCATCATGTATATTGTGAGCAGTAAGTCTCAGTAGAAGGTTATCAGCAAGGCTCGGGAGTGGGG